TGAAGTTAGGAACTTGCTCAGTTTTGTCCTTAGATCGCGCGTTTTCTGGTAGAATAAGTGTAGCTGCTTTAGATTTCCTTTCCTCGACAACTTGGTGAAAGTTTGTATTAACAATTCTATGCTTGCCATTCACGTATTTAATGGTTTGTTTTTCACGCCATTGTCATTCAGCAATCTAAGTTTTTCCCACAGTGATTGCAATTGTGACTGCTGAGCCGGAGTGAGATCTGACTTGAAGGAGACTCGTGTGTCAGGATCAGGTTTGGATTTTAGTATTTTCTGGCATGAGTGACAGACTGTGTCTCAATTAGCAAAGACCTAGACCTAGACCTGTTGGACGCAATCATTCAGCAATCTAAGTTTTTCCCACAGTGATTGCAATTGTGACTGCTGAGCCGGAGTGAGATCTGACTTGAAGGAGACTCGTGTGTCAGGATCTGGTTTGGATTTTAGTATTTTCTAGCATGAGTGACAGACTGTGTCTCAATTAGCAAAGACCTAGACCTAGACCTGTTGGACGCCCTAGCTTGCGTAGCTTGAACTATTTCACATTGCCATGGAGTTCTTCGAGAATAACTGTTGATAACCGTACTCTATCTTCTTCTAGACGTACTTTACCATCTATCGTCTTGGAATCGGTAATATTTAATGCGATCACATTGGCTTCCCGCTTCTTACGCTCATTGATCTCCATAATAACCTCCTCTGGAGGAAGTGGAGAGAATGAATTTAGTTTGTCTTCTTTCTCCCTAATTCTTTTATCTAAATGTGAGCACTTTTTCGACATAACCTCGTTCAGTTTATTTATCTCATTCCTTATATCTGAGAGGTTGGCCTCAATAGACTGCTTAAATTTATCAAACTTCGACTTAATTTTGCTTGACAGTTTGATGAGTAAATTTTCATACTTATCGAGGGACGCGTCGTCTGTGACATCACTGTCATCCTCATCTAACTTAGAGTCTCGCTGGGCATCTCATATTCTTAAACTAACCTCGCAAAGACACTTGTCGCATTTCCGAACTGTTTTATTTTTTAAGACTTTAGGGCTGTAGCCCTAAATTCTTCGCTGCTGAGCCCGGTACACCGAGCGCGATGCCAATAGCTGCATTGAGCACATTGAATGTTGCTGGAACCTTCTTGAATAACCTTAAGACAAGCCCCGCATGCACATTTGCTTCTTAGGAGGCATAATCACCGTATATATTGCTTCTTCGTTTATTTTCCCCTAACTTAACAAATCGTTAAGTAATTAAATTTAGATATTATAAAAAAACAAGTAAGGAAGGGCTAAGTTCGGATGTCACCGAACATTCTATACTCTCGCATGATAAAGTGATAATCGAGATTTCAGGCGGGTTGTGAACCGATTTCACCCATATTTGGTGCAAGTCATCAGGGTGTTAAGAAAATATTATATACCGAATTTCATTGAAATCGGTCGAGTACTTCCTGAGATATGGTTTTTGGTCCATAAGTGGGCGAAGACGCGCCCAATTTCAATTTTTAAAAAATGCCTGGATGCAGCTTCCTTCTGACATTTCTTCCGTAAAATTTTGTGTTTCTGACGTTTTTTGTTAGTCGTAGTGTAGTTAACCTTTGTATGGGAGGTGGGCGTGGTTATTATCCGATTTCTTCCATTTTTGAACTGTATAAGGAAATGCCTAAAAGAAACGACTCTATACAGTTTGGTTGACATAGCTATAGTAGTCTTCGAGGTATGTACAAAAAAGTTAGTAGGGGGCGGGGCCACGCCCACTTTTCCAAAGAAATTACGTCCGAATATGCCCCTCCTTAATGCGATCCTTTGTGCCAAATTTCATATTAATATCTTTATTTATGGCTTAGTTATGACACTTTATAGGTTTTCGGCTTCCGTCATTTTGTGGGCGTGGCAGAGGGCCGATTTTGCCCATCTTCCAACTTAACCTTCTTGTGGAGCCAAGAAATACGTGTACCAAGTTTCATCATGATATCTCAATTTTTACTCAAGTTACAGCTTGCACGGACGGACGGACAGACGGACAGACGGACATTCGGATTTCAACTCCACTCGTCACCCTGATCACTTTGGTATATAACCCTGACTCTTTTAGTTTTAGGACTTACAAACAACCGTTATGTGGACAAAACTATAATACTCTCCTTAGCAACTTTGTTGCGAGAGTATAAAAAAGAAGAAAAAGAGATTCTACGAAAAGATGAATGATGAAAAGAATGAATGAAATGAAATGTTAATATTATAAAATTATACTGTGGAACATATAGGAACTTTCTTGAGGTGCATTTGGTATTTGCTTTATAGTCGTCGTCTGTATTGTGTTTATCAAAGAATTTTTATAAAAATCTGCCAGCCGTTGTCTTAAAGGTAGCTGCGCGGTACTTTACTTCACCACCCGATGGCGGTACGATTGCAAACAAACTATGTGCAGATTTGTTTTGACAACATTTAATAACGGTTTATAGAACTGCCCAAAAACATCAGTCGAAAAGAGGATTTCCACGGTTTTCAAAGATTCACAAGGTGAAATCTTTTTCGACTACCTAAAGAAAGGCAAAAAGTGGGCCGAATTGTCCGTTTGGTAAAGGAAAAAGTGCTGTTCCACAATAAAAACGCATCGACTTGCTAAGCCATCGTCACGACCAAACTTTTTGGATTAAATTATAAAAAAACTGCCCCATCCATCGTATTTTTCAGATTTGGTATCGTGCGACCTTGTTGTGAATTAATTCAAAATTGTCGGTTTTCTTATGTTGGCTAAGTATAAATAAAAGCTAACCAATGTTCTAAAAAATATTTTTCATATTTTTTCTCTATTTTCATACCCCGGGTCAGTTGTGTGAAGTTTGCTACGATGTTTGTAACACCCAGAAGGAAACGTCGAAAACTATACTATATACGAGTATACATATAAGGTGTGTTCCAAAGTAAACAGGACTTTTTGAATCTAACGCCCCCCGGTGCCACCATCTATATGGTTCTTTAGAATTTGCTATCTTTATTGATTGTTCAGTGAGAATTTCATGATATTTCATTGATTGGAAGTGAAGTTATTTCGTTTTAAGTGTCTGTATGTTTGTGTTCTCGGTGCGAAAATGAGCTTCGAACATAGAGCCAACATTAAATTTTGTTTTAAAGTTGGTAAACATTTTACCGAAACGTTTCAATTGATGAAACAAGTTTATGGCGATTATGGCCTATCCCGTAGCAGAGTGCACGTGTTTCAAAGTGGTCATGAGGATAAATCAAAATCCGTGATCACCGGAAATTCCATCGAAACTGTGCGTGAATTCATCAAAAATCAGCCGAAATCATCATTGAAATTCAGGGAAATGGAATTAAACATCTCCAAATAATCGATTTATCGCCGAATATTTGGTCTTACGAAAGGGGTGTGTACGGTTTGATTATTTGACCAAAAGTCACATTTTAAAAATTAACCAATCCAGGTATTCACCTGATATGGCACCGAGAAAATGCATTTGCCCATGAATGCAAAGCGTTATGCAGACGTAGATGCCATTCAAAAGGCTTGTACTGGCATACTGGCGGCCATACCGGCCAACGAACTRAAACACTSGTTCGACATGCTTTTGGACCGTGGAAAAAGCTGTATTGAAGCAGAACGAGACTATTTTGAATAGAATAAATTGATTTTGCCGAAAAAACCATTTGTTTTTTATATACATACGCACCTTGTATGTATATAAATGATCTGCGTGACGTGCTGAGTAGATTTAGCCATATCGTTCTGTCTAAATATAGTACGGATTCACACGAACTTGTCCCTAAGCTTACACCGTTTTTCTCTCCAAGAAACCGCTCATTTGTCTGAACAGCAGCACTATGAGATGTTGCCGCCATGCAAATCTATCACCAAAATGAGGTCTTTGTATTTGAAAGTTTTTTTTTTATAGGGCAACGGTGCACCTCAGATCGGGTCACTATAGCATATATATATGTATGTAGCTGCCATACAAATTAATCGATCAAAGTTCTATTACAGAATTTTATGTATTTGTGAAGGGTGTAATAGCTTCGGTGCAGCAATCCAATTATTATAAGCTGTTAAACTTGAAACTTATGACCGATTGAGCTACTCACCGACCAATCAAACGTAATTAATCACATATTTGAAAAAACCTTGCGAAAAGTTGCACTCAATTTGTCGAGTAATTGCCACTTTCTCTCCCATGGTTCTTTTTTGAGACAACATCTAATTAAGTTCACAAAATCCCGTAAAAATTATCATAAATCACCGCAAACGCCGGTGTCCAGCGGAGAAACCGAGCTGGCAACAAATAGCTCCACGCAGAGCGCACAGTAGCCTCCGACCATATTATGGCTAATTACTAATTAAACATAATAAATTAATTGGGCTGCGTTTAACACCTGACAATGCTGCTGGCATACTGGCACATAAATGAGCGCGAATCAACAAACAAAAAATACGAAAAAATAAAAAATAGCCAGCTATCATACAAACAAATAAAAAAGCGAAGCCGCAAAAATCGGTAAGCATAACAAATTAATATTCAGTTAATTGTTTTCGTTGTTAACACAGCGGCCATAATACTATCAATTGTTGTGGTCACATCGGCTTGTATGTCTACCTTCATAAAATTCATTTGCATGTACATACTTATGTATATGTGTGTGTGTATTTCATTGTCGAAATTCATACGCTTAATTACGACCCATTGATGACCACTTGCCTCAACGCTCGCAAAGTGAAACACACTCGAATGTACATGTACATATATTTATATAAGCTCCCACAATTAGTTGCGCATAAACTCGACAACTGTAAAAAATATCAGATTTGTTTATTTGCTTGTGGCCACTTAACGGCCACTCGTCGTCCACGACGACTTGTCGACGACACGTCGCCCGTCGCCAAATTAATGGCCTCATTATGCTTGTCACTAAACACACACGCCCACCGCTCCGCACAAGCCATTAAACACATCTATCAAATCGGACAATCGGTTGGCTTATATACTCAAATATATATTTATAAAAATATATATGTTTATAATTAAGAAATCAATCACAATAAGTCAGCACTTAAAACTAATCATCTATAGTGTAAAAATAAAATACAACAAATGAGTTATAGTTTTTCTGCAGAGTGTCGCATAAAATAGAAGTGCTCACAGTTTGGCTGCTTTTCTGAACACGCTAATCGCGTAGAATTCCGGTAGCCGATACAATTTGAGACGCTGATGACTAAACTGGCCATTGGTCAGCGCTTTCACATAGAATATATCCTTCATGGTGAGCTCACGTGGGCCGCTGCTCCCATCTTTTACTTCGTTGGGACGCTGCTTCGCTGGGCGGTAGGCTTTGCGCTTCAATAGTTTCACATAAATTATTTCGTTGTCGTCGTCGTCAAGTTCACGTCCCTGGAGCTGCAAATTTCTTGGCATCGGATAGAGTAGCAGCGGCTGGATGGGTAACACTTCATTGGGTTGTTGCGCATAGTCCAATGCCGCTATTGGTCCTAATGTTTCGATTGTGGGTAACGGTGTGCTTAAGGTCACGAGCGTTTGTGCCATGAGATAAATGATAAAACTGATTATTCGGTGATTGTTGTGCTGTTTGAAAGTGGGTGAAAACATAGAGTTTATATAAAGGGTGATCAATTAGTATTGAATATAGGCTCATATGGTAATATGCATGTATCGACTTCGATTTTAATGCATTTTTTTTTTTACTACCTGGACCCTTTTCAGATATATATAAGTCCTTATGCCTTTAACTTTTTTTATCAGTACAATTTAATTATATTACTTTACAAGGTTCTTTCCAAAGTAAGCAGGACTTTTTGAATCTAGCGCCCCCTGGTGGCGCCATCTATATTTCGACTAATGCGTTAGAATCTCCTATTTTTATCGATTGTCCAGTGAGAATTTCATGACATTTCATTGATTTTAAGTGAAGTTATTTCGTTTTAAGTGTCAGTATGTGTGTGTTGTGACCAATTATTTGATCAAAAATCACAATTTCACCATTAACCACTCTCCGATATGGAACCGTGCGACTTCTCCCTTTCGGAAAAATGCATTTGCCCATGAAAGGAAAGCGTTATGCAGACGCAAATGCCAATCCAAAGGATGGCACCGGCATACTGGCGGCCATACTGGCCAACGAACTAAAACACTCGTTCGACATGCTTTTAGAAAATGCAAAAAGCTGTGTTGAAGCGGAAGGAGAGTATCAACCTTGTACTTCATGTACAATCTGTTGGAAGACTGGTTGAAATCTTTATTGAGTGCGTTAAAACATTGAAACACGATAATTTTACATTAAATGAGGGCAATGAAAAAGTAGTGGAAGTAAAATATTTAAGAAGAACTCTACTACTTTCGCAGGAAACTGTTTACGTCTCGCTATACAAATCGATCATTTGCAACGAAATAGAGGTCGTATGGTTCCGACACGCCACCATAGTGGCTCCGAAAAAATTCATTTGTCCAAATCGTCGATGTCTAAATACTAAAACATATAGTTGCTATTCAAACGATACAACTTAAATTTTCAAGGTATTTTTAAAAAATTTAGCAAGGATTATTTTTCACGGCAACTCACACGTAATTATCAAACTTAAGTCTTTGAAAAGATTACACTAGTTTATAGTAATTTTGCGTAAAAAATTTTTCAGTAAAAATTCATTTTTATTGTAGTGTAGGGGTCAAACTACCACCGTTTGTTAAAATGACAAAATTAGCTGCCATACCTCAAATAACCATATAATTTCTCTTTTATATAGAGGGTAATCAATTTCGAGGTTCCCTTCTCAAAACAATATCGTGAAGATTATCTATTTCAAATGCTGGCCGCAGCTACATATTAGGTTGTCAAAAAAGTCTTGCGGTATTCCTTGCGGTGTTTTTATTGGATTTTCAATTGTTCACAACATTTTTTTTTGATGACTCATGCCCAGCTCTTGACCGATGCTACGGCTGCTACTAGTCGGTCTCTTTCGACCAATTCAGTGATTTTATCGCAATTTTCGACGACAGGCCTTGCGGAGCGCGGCGCATCTTCGACCACCTCTACACTAGAACGAAAACTTTGAAACCATCGTTGTGCGGTGGAAATGGAAACTGTGTCGGGTCCATAAACTGCACAAATTTTATTGGCGGCTTGAGATGCAGTTTTGCCTTTATCGTAGTGGTACTGTAAAATATGCCGTATTTTCTCTTTATTTTGCTCCATGTTTGCGACGCTATAACTCACGAACGACTTAAAAGAAACGACAATCAATCAAACACGTTTTAGCGCGTGAAATGAGCTTTCCAAAAAGGTATAGCATGACGCCAACTAGCGAAAATATCGCAAGACTTTTTTGACAACCATATACATCTCAGATGGTACAGCCGCTGGGTTATGTAAATTTATAAGAAAATGTATTGGCAACTCTTGGCAAATATGGTACATAATTTTATTAATTATATATAATTTCATTTTTTTATTATGTGAACAAAAATAATTGAACAAAAGTTAAATATTGAATAAAATTAATAAAAATTGCTCTTTAGTAGTTAATTATTGTTTAGTGCAGTGCTCATCAAAATAAACCCAAATTTTTTCTGTATCGTATATATGTATATGACTCAAAAATGCCTCCTAAAAAAATCACTCAGCCGCAGCTTACTTGTGCCATTCGTAAAATTGTCGCTAATTCAGCAAGTGTGATGTGCGCAAATTGCCGCACATGGACTCATTCCAAATGTGCGAAACTTAATAGAGCGGAATTTACCGAGCTAGCAAATAAAATAAAACATCAAGGTTATCAATGAAAATGTTGAACAAGCCGTTTGGAGGTTACCTTGACACGACTCACGCGTGATCTGTGATGAAAATGCTATTGAAATATACTTGGATCACCCGTTACCTATATAGTACCATTTGTTTAAAAAAAATTGATTTTATCCTCCCTTAGAAATCCAGAAGTAAGTACACGACTGAACTTTTTTAAAAATCATTCATGTAACTTGCACGCCGTTTAAAATATTGAAATACCTGCGCTGAACAATTTCATAACAGTGTTCAATTACTGCAAGCTTAATTGTGTTTAATACATTGTCAACAAATAATTTTACGGGAAAAAAGTTTATTATTTACAATAGTTTGTGCTCTTCACACCTATCATTATAATTACAAGCGGGTAATATTGTGGCATTGGTGAGATTGTGTGCTTAACACGTTCAGTGCCATTTAAAATTAAAGTCATATAGGAATTATATGTTGTTAGGCGAAAAATAATTCATAGAAAAAAATTTTAATGAGATTCAATATTTTAGAAAAAAGTCAATTTTCATAGTAATCATTTCTAGTTCAATTTTCATTAGTATTCATTTCTATTGAGTATTAAAAGAAGAAATCATACATATTTCAAAAAAACATAGATATTTCAAAAATCGAATGTTTTACTTTATATTTTTGATGTACATATATTTAAGAATACACACAGAAAATTTCATATGGTTTCGGTAAATATTTTCGAAGTTACACATAAATTCGAAAAAGCGTTTCAGAGTGTTTGGAAGTACATACAAGTTGATGACCAACAATATACGAAACGGCTAAACCGATTAGTTTCAAATTTTAACAGGATCGTTTCAAACATATTTTTTAGTAATTACACGAAAACTTTTTTCACCAATAAATAGTTTTATTTTTATACCCTGAACAGGGTACATTAATTTTGTCACGAAGTTTGTAACACCCAGAAGAAAGCGTCGGAGACCCTATAAAGTATATATATAAATGATCAGTATGTTGAGCTGATTCGATTTAGCCATGTCCGTCTGTCTGTCTGTCTGTCCGTCTGTCCGTCTGTCCGTCTGTCTGTATATATACGAAGTAGTCCCTCAGTTTTTAAGATACCGTTTTGAAATTTGCAAACACCATTTTCTCTTCAAGAAGCTACTCATTTGTCGGAACTGCCGACATCGGACCACTATAACATATAGCTGCCATATAAACTGAACGATCGGAATCAWGTTCTTGTATGGAAAACTTTCACATTTGACAATGTATCTTCACTAAAGTTGGCACAAGTTATTTTCTATGGCAACAATATAATCTCCGAAGAAATTGTTCAGATCGGTTAACTATAACATATACATAGCTGCCATATAAACTGAACAATCGGAATCAAGTTCATGTATRGAAAACTTTCACATTTGACGTGGTATCTTCACGAAATTTGACTTGGATTACTGCTTAAGGTAATAATATAATCTCCGAAAAAAATTTTCAGATCGGATTACTATAGCATATAGCTTCCATATAAACTGAACACATAATTACTAACAGAAATGCACCTGTGAAGGGTATTTAGCTTCGGTGCAACTGAAGTTAACGTTTTTTCTTGTTTTATAAACAATTTAAGGCCGAAATTTTGGTCAAAAATCGATTTTTTTTTGGAAAACCACCATTTTGTCAAATTTTGCTTTTGCTTATTATTTCTTTGATTAATTACTCGATTTATCATTACTTTAAGAAATTTTGTTTGCCTTTTTAATTTTAGAAGATCCAGTTCTATATCTTGGTCAATGCAAAACGTTTTTCATGGGGAGCTCCCAGAGATCAGCTGTAAGTTCTTTCCAAATAAATATTTTTATATATAATATTTAAAAGTTTTCTCAAAAAAAGAATCCGGAAAATCCAATTTTTTCATCCTTCTAACTGTATATAACCCCTTAAAAGAAAAAACGATCATGATCTGTTTGTCTAATTGTCCTTTAAAATGAGTTATCAGTCAGAAATTTTGCGCACTCCTTTTCATCCCATGAAGTTGCCCATTTGTCGGAACTGTAAGATATAAACTAATCATAAAAACTATTCGAACAAACTGAAGTCCTTGTATGCAATTTTTTTTTGAATTATATAATCTTAGAAGAAATTTTCAGTTAGGACGTTGGGGCTACTATAGCATATAGCGCGATTTAAACTGATCGATCAACCATAGTTAAGGATATTCTTATAAATATGTTCATATACTATAAAATATGCACTTTTGTAGATATTACATAGAAAGTATCGTGTTCACTTATTTTCGATCCTTTCGTCTATGACGTCGCAGTGTATTCTTCTGTCAAGTGCTTTCCAAATAAGTAATGGCACGAAACTCTCGTAATGTGTTTCCCATTATTCTTAATTTTTTTTTTTACAGTTACCTACACTCAATATACAACTTATTCAAATACATTTTCTGGGTTTTCTGTACACGAAGCGGTAATTTTTAGTACTTTTCTCAAATTTGATTTTGTACTTGTTTGCTCTTAAGGATTTCGTCCAGTAATATAACAAAATAACATTCTTAGAAGTTTTATGTGCGCGTACCATTTTGTAGTGTAAACCGGTGGATCTATTTCGTATTTCGTATTTTTTATTTATTTTATTTAAAAAAAATAAAATTATTTTCTATTATCTAAAATCACTTTAAATTAACTGAGCGTCCTTCCTTATTAAATTTATTAACAACTTAACGCCGCCGTTGCGAAAGCTTGCGTGAGCTGCGCGCCAAAGTCAAACGTTAACTGGCACTCCGGCAAGGCCGTTGTAACTTCATTTACTGCAAAGCGCCTGCGCAGCGTCTCGCAGAAGTCAACGCATCGCCAAACAAACAATTTTGCACGCACCTATACATACAGGCACTCACACATTGAAACATACACGTTCTCATGCCGTCAAATATATATGCTTGTATGTAGGTGATAAATATTTGCGACAAAGCAAATGAAAAATCGTTGGAATTATAAAAACAACAACACAACAGCAGAAACCATCGGGCAGATCAAGTGTTTGCAAATCGGTGATGCTAAGCATCATAACTGTTGACTATTTGTAGTTGCATACGGTTGTATACATTGTGTGTATATGACATTTACACATTTCGTACTTTAGTCCATGTGCTTAATTTGGCTCAATAGCAAAGAGTAATAATAGAATATGAACAAAAGAGACTGCCATTAGGAAAAGACGGACCACACACTTCTTATATAATATTTGTGCTGTGATTTCGACCTTTTTCTATTTGTTTATCCAAGCATACACAGGTGTAGACGTTTAATCTCGAATATGAATGACCAAAAGCTATTTGGATTTCGGTAAAAAATGGAAGTGCTTATTAAAGCAAAAAATGTCTATGTAGGTATGTACTGCCAATTCGCGTAACTATGGATGCATAAACAAGGAAATTGCCAATTAAAAGGTTCTATTGCAGAAGAAGAGCTCGAGTGTGATCATCGCACTATCCGAATTGCAATAGGCTGAACTCCTACATAGTTATGCATACATGGCCCCGGTATATCCAACATATGTTTTCTGTTGAGAAAGTTCCCGCTTGACCACCTAAACTGTTTCGAGGCGTTCGACCGTCGGAAAGAGTGTGTGATGAGGAGGTATAAATGATAACAAACTTACATACACAACAAAGGCCAATATATTGCGACTAATATAATTATTTTAAAATGTCCCAGATCTAATAACCCTTTGGAGAAGTATGAAATTCTTACATTGGCTGACCGACAAAAGAAAGTATAATTATAAGTATATTACGAACGTGTGACATTTTTATGGAGAAACAAACTCGATCGGTAACCCTCGTATTTACATATACATGTTTTAGAATAAATCAAGTATGTGTAAATAATAGCCAAACGCTTAGAAAATACGAATATTGGCAAGAACATTACCTACTCACACGCATTATGGTAGTCGTTAGATGATTGCTTATGCAAATTTTCACATCTTTAAATTTTAAAAAGCATAAAATCTGTCATGTTGATATATACATATTGAAAACTGCCTAATTGTCGGCGCGTCTAATGTCCTACCCTCCATGTAGTGCGCAAGTATAAATTTGTCTCTTTCCGCGTACTTCTGATATTAACTGACCATAAAATGTTTATTCTCTAAATTAACAACAAATAATTGGCTTTTAGACAACCAAACTTCATACATAAAATTAAGTCATATATGCATTTGGTTGATGCTTTTAGCGGCTTGATTTATCAATCAAAATTGTTTTGAATATAAACTTTTGAATATTTTATCGTTAAAGTTCCCCTATAGTTGTGTTGAGCCAGACGTGGTATGTTTCGAAGCATAAGAGATGTCGAGGGCTTCTCATATTTTTATAATGCTGGCAAGACTCTTTATTATTTCACGAACTTTTCGAACATTTGCGTATTTTATAATCTGGACATCTCAAAATTATAAATTTTCAATCGAACCTTTTGCTTCGTAAAGAACTGGTAACAAATTCTTTCATCTTTGACAATTCATACTTGATGAAAAAATGACACATATTATCTGATATTTTATAGTATTTACATACCTACAGACTTTTCACATCCTTTTTACTTAAATAACTTTATATTAAATACACGCTAATTCGTTTATGGGAAAATTTTCCGAAAATTCATATTTTAAAATTTATCATCCACATATCATTTAACGGTCTATTATTGATCTTTCTTTCCTTTCTCTGCCCGGTTGAATGGACCGAGAAATTGAGCCTCAATGACTCAATTATTCCAGATTTCGAGGAGGAAGCATAATCCGTAGCCAGAAATGAGTAGTTAAATACAAATTTATAAGCGATATCTGCAGTATAAATGTCTTAGTATCATTCAGAAGAATAAACATCTTCAGCAAAGTGCATTTTGAACGAATTATGTCTAGAAAGATTTTTCCGTGACCGTAATACAATATGTACTCTGCTTAAAAAAATATCTTTTCTCATTTGTAATTATTTATTTAAATTTTTTTTGACAATTCGTTTAGTTTTTTCCATAAGAAACCTTTTGAAGCAGTTTTTCTAATGAAGTATCCTGAAGGCCACAAGTAGACTAATAATGCGCTGCAAAGTATTTAAATACGCGATCTACATTTATGTAGAGGTGGTCTGACCATAATGGAGAAACTTCAAAAGTAGATGGTAGCCACGAAGAGGGAGGAGTCACAGCCTATCTAAAAGTGAGGATAAAGCTATTGTTACAACTGCTCAGTCAAGGGAGGCTGAAAAATTTGAGGCCAAACCACGTAAAGTGGATCCTGAAAATTTTGATCACCGATTTTGAAAATAAGCACTAAATTAGGCGAGGGGTCAGACTCATACCCCGTGAATTAAAAATTTCGTCAAAAATAATTTTTTCTTTCATAATGTTATTGAAGTTTAGAGCACGACAAATTTTTAAATTATTTTCTCATGAACTACTGCAGAGAAATCGATGAAATTTTGTGTACTCAAAGAAAAATGATCATAATATGTTATACAAGTAGATGTCAATTCAGTAGATTGCTTGGGATATATTGAAAGCAAAAATATGAAAACAACTTTTAACGCCAACAAAAGATTTCATTCTACCCCAACATACCAGAAGGTCGCTTCCTGTGAAATAGGCGGCATTTTTTAGTTGTAATGGCAACTTACATATGTCAGGCTAGGATAGATAAGGCGGAAAATTGGAACAAGTATTGAATAAATGTCAGCTATAACAAAAATAAAATTTACTGAATAAACACTACCTATACTTTGGAAAACGAAAACGTAATTTTTTGAACATTCTATGTGAAAATATTATGATTCAGAGGAGTTCGAATTCGCAACATAAGACCGAATAGCACATGGAGTGTACTTTCAACAATTAAAATAGCAGATAATTTTTTTTATAAAAAAAGTGTAACTTAGCGTACACTATTAATGCTAACTATGCCTAGGTTCATGTTTTGAAGAAAAGAGAAATTTATCAATGTAAATGGGAAGCAATCTCACTACTTGTTGTGCCCTCCATCTACTACAGCGATTCGAAAAACAAGTGTGTTTTGTTTTCTTCTTCAACGCTGCTACGTACTTAAAATTCTGCCCAATTCTGCAATATGTTAAATACCCAAAATTTGTTTACATGTATTTATAATGCGCCAATAGCAGACGTCGAGCAATTCACGTTTTTGTAGAGCCAGACTGGCCAGCAGCAATGAGCGAACGTTGCTTTGAATAACAAGCAAACTCAAATTGTCACCAATGCTCCAAAAATAGATAAAATCAGTGTGTAGTGAAAGTGAATTTCTGCGACAAATAGTTAAGAATTGGGAGCTGCTTTCTCTTGCAATGAAAAGGGAAAACACCAAACGATTTCTGAGGGGAGCATCTGGCGACACGAAATGCGAATTGGAAATGAATTAATCGCCTACAATTTGCAGCTTTTGGTAGATTTCTTGCAAAAACAAATAAACTTATCCGCAGATTTTGCATAATTTGAAAATCACTTATCATTGGACGGCTATGCTTGAGCGCTCCAGCAAGTGCCTTAAAGATCGTTTGTACTTCAGAAGCTAAGAGTATCAAGTATATTTAAATTTCGTGGTGTTAGAAAAGTGAAAACGGCGGAGATTGCGCGTGCGCGGTGTAAGACAATCACTTCTTTCAGTTTCCTCTTCTCAACGTTTTCTAAGTCCATTTTTATCTTTCTAATCTTTTCGCTTGGAAATTGATTTGAAGTATTTTTGAGATATGCGCAAAATTAAATAATAAATGCATAAATCGAAAAAAGGTCGTGAGTAGCAGATATTTACCGACTTTTGTTTTTTCTATGCTACGTGATACTTCAACTCAGAAGAGACCAATATTTGCATATGTAATTGATTTCATCAATTGCGTTCGATGGTTGAAGTAAGTGGCCCCACTTGAGTGATAAGTAATGAAAGACGAATGTTTTCTGGAATGGAATGTATGTAGCATAGGAATATGAGGGTACTCAAATGAAATATACAAAGTGCGTTCCAAAGTAAACAGGACTTTTTGAATTTAGCGCCACCTATATGTCGAAGATGAAAGTTGGCGTTTGTTGCACGATAATGCGCCGTCTCATCGATCGACGCTTGTGGCCGCTGTTTTAAATAAAATAAATTGATTTTGCTGAAGAAATCATTTGTTATGTTTTTTTAAGTCCTGTTTACTTTGGATCGCGCCTAGTAGTAAAAAGTTAAAAGTGTGTTAGAAATACATAAGCTGTGTTCGTTAAAGGTTATAGCATTATCTAACCATTTAATCATTATATCAGCTATTTAAAGAGATTGCTAGTACTGAAAAATAATGGCCGAGTACCACATATTTATATTCGGTAGCATTGAATCAATTGTTCGGAAACAGTGAGCAATTTGAAAGTTAAGAAAAATCCTGTTTTATGAAAAAGCAGCAATGGAGAAGAAATACTTCTCAACGCGAGAAATCACATTTTAAAAACCGCTAACGGTTGTATGTATCACTTAAAACTAACCGAAAAAGTTTAACTTTATGAATCAATTCATTATTGATAAGGCCCATTTCTAACTCAATGGGTATGAAAACAAGCGAAATTGCCACATTTGGGATGAAGAGATTCAAGAGCTGCCACTTCATTCAGAGAAAAACCACGGTTCGGTGTGGTTTGTAGGTCGGTGGAATCATCGTTCGGTATTTCTTTAAAAATGATGCTGGTAGGAATGTAACCGTCAATGACGATCGTTAGGGTCTATTT